AGTTTCTAAACTGAGTAAAACCATACTTTGGAGTACTTCTGGAACGCTTTTCCGTGTCTTTAACCACCTGTTTCCTTTCAAAGAGAATGCAGTGAGCAGCAATGTTTATTGATCTTCGACACCCAGCCATTTTCTCCCATGAATAGACTTGTTTCTCCCTGCTTCTATGTCTTCCCATTTTAGTTTATAAGGTGCACTCAGATGTATACTTTAGCCACTGGAATAAAGCCTCTACAACTGATATATATTCTGCCCTTGCTAACACCATACATGTGTGTGGATTAACCAGAATTAAAGTTACAGCTCAGAGAACACACTTGCTGTACCAAGTTTACCAGGAAAAGAAACTGAAGATAGTGTGCCTGAAAGGGTGTAAAGTACACAAACAGGCTTACTAGAGTTGATAAAAGAACCATATTCTCCTAATATTCTTTGTTTAGTACAGTATGTTAATTCTGGATTATTCCATATAGTCATACAAGTCCTTCCTTCCTGCTGGTCATATTGGGGAGCTTCATACAGACGTGATGTAGTCAGAGACCTGTTTATCTGAAGAAATTTCAAGGGTCAAATATTGGGAATTTTTATTAAATTTAGGAAATGGTCTTGGTTTTATTTTTTTCCTGTTTTCTCATCTGAACTCTTCCATTTCCTATCATCCTTTATGGGTTAGTATCTGGTGGTGTAGTTTTACAGACATTTGAGTTTGTCAGTCCTTTCTAATGCAGGTGTTTCTCTGCTAGTGCTGTGGTCTGCATTGGGGAACTCCTCTAGGATCACACCAACACTCTGGTTTCTGGTTTGGCTGCAGTGCAGGTTTTGTGTAGAGTTGGGAATAAGACCTGGGGAAGGACCAGGATGCTGCTTTTTGTGTGCTCTAGGTGGACGCTGTAGGAGAATGAACCATACGAGAAGGTTGAGTGTGGTGGATCCCATCATTTACAGTGTGACTTTCCAAGTGGGAAACACTTCTGCTAGTCTGATTTTACTGGGAGCGTGTTGGTTACGTCTCCTTGACGTTGCATGTAGCCATGTTTCCATGTCAGGCAGGCAGCCATTCCGAGGCACAATGAGTAGCTACATCAAAGGAACCATAAAGAAGTTTCCAGGAATTGAGTAGGAAGGCCAAGACAGTGAAGTAGGTGAAATGGTTTCAGGTGTCCAGTTTAAGGTGCACACAGGTAATAATGGACCGTTCCTCAGCTGAGGACAACTGCTGTTGAGTTATTTGTAGGTTTTCCTTTCAATTAAAAAATAAAACAATCTGGTGATAATGCCTGTGTACAAGGCTAGAAGAAAGGAGTGATGCATGTGGGATACAGAGAGCGACTGCTGTTTCTCCAGCTGTAACAAGTGACACGGATATGTGTGAGTGAACGGGGGAATTCCATCCAGAGACGGGAAAGATGTGGCATGGAGCTTGTCAGCCCTGTAAGGCCATCCATCTAAGAGAAGGTCACTCTAAACAAACCTACGTCCTGAGGACCTCGCTGCCACTGTCCAAGCTTGCTCGGCCCCGGCAGATGAACCTCAGGATTAAAGAGTGGGCTCAGTTCAGCGCACGCTGTGTCTCACCTAAAAAATCCATTGCGCAGGCTGGAAGGGTAAAGACCTTTCCCAAGTCTTCGCTCATGAAGGCTGGCCATACATACACAGGATCTTGTTGAAGGACTTAGAATGCTCTGTCTAAGTGTGCTATGGAGTCAGCTGGCAGGCAGCATGCTGGAGGAGCTTGCTGTTTGACTTCAATCTCCCTGTAATATCTCTAAGGAACACATTTGAACTGTGCTCCTGGAATGAGTCATCTTGCTTTTCTAAAAGTGTGCCCATCACAGACCAGTAGAGTTTATTAGAGTGCTTCTGCTTCTGAGGTGTGCATGTCAGGCAGGTAAAGTCATCTCAGATTTTTGAAGCAAAATGCATGTGAAGTCTGAAAACCATGAATTGCAGTATAAGTTTCCAGGGTAATTTTTCATGGGCAGTCAAAGAACCACTTGCAGTCATACCAAAGTTGCATTAAAAGAAATCTGATGTAGTCAGATGATGTAGTCTGGGTCTTCTGTGTTTGTAGGTCTTAAATTTTTCTAAATCTGAAAACTGGTGACAAGGTAGCAGCAGTATTTGGATAGGGAGAAGAAAGCCTCATAAAATTGATGGTGGTTTTTGAAAAAAGTAGCATAAGCTTGTTTTTTTTTTGGTACTAGAATGCTTCCAGTGTGCTGTATCTTGTGCTTTTCATCTCTTCCTCTCAGCTCAGTTAGTCCCATTAGGAGTGCACCCTTTGGAGTAAGGATACAGGGTAAAACTGCTCTACAAGTGTATGGTGAAAAATCACAGCAGCAATGGAACAGCTTTTTCTTAGCATGAAATACAAATCCAAAGTAATAAATTGCTTGTAGGCTGAGTAACCAGGAGTGGAGTAGCAAGTACTAACACTAAATGATATCTGTACTGTCTTCGGTGGGTGTTTCAGGTTGAGCTTCTACAAGCTTGGAATGCAAAGAAGTTGTGTGTTTTACATATTTTTAACCATCATGTATTTCTTACAAAGCCTCTAGTAATGTGTAAATTAATGCAAGACAGACCACAAGGATGTTTTGTGTAACTTAATGCATATTTTTCAGATACTGAGCTGGATCTGACCATAAAGACTGTGAACTTTGCTCTTCAAGTAACAGAAATGTTGGGGTACATAATTCACATTGATTCTCTATTGTCAGTTAGTGTGTTGGTAGGTAAGAATTAAATGATGATGCCTGAATTGATGAATTGTCTGGGCACTGAGGGTCTGCTGTGTATAAATATGTAAGAGGACCCTCAGGAGGAGGAAGTGTGGGATTAGCAAAGCCAGGTGGATCTGAAGCAAAGATAGACTTCTTTTTGATACACAGCCCCTTCACTTGTGTTAGCAAAAATTCTTCTCTGTTCCAAACTGAGACCACAAAATCTTTAGTGAGGAAAAAAAAGCCACAGTCAGACTTTAATACTAAGAGCCTGGGAATGATTGTAGTTATTTAGAGAGATAGGAATGCTTGATGAAAATTGAGATGTAATGCATGATTAAATGTTCATTTGGTTGTTACACTCATGGTTCAATCCTGTCATTACCACAGTTCAGCCACTGCAGGTGTCTTACTGCTGCCTGGAAGATGATGGCTGATGACAGAATGAAAGGAGAAGCAAAAGCCTATAGCGTGTAGAATGCCTTTCTTTTTATCAGTTAGTTGTCTAAATCAAAAAAGCTATTTTAGAAACTGTAGTTGACTAACAGCAATCAAAAATTAGGCTCTGAAAAAGTTAAAACTCATTGTTATTTGAGATCTTCAGTACACAAATGCCTGGACCCTTTTATTTACTAATGATGTTTTAGCTTCCGTTCTCATCTCTCATAATAACCCTGAAGAACATTCCAGGTGCCGTATGAATTGAACTGGTAAGTTATATGTCTTTGTACCTGTGGAGAAGTTTGCTGGCTTTCCTGAAGGGATCTCAGGAAGGATTCCTACCACTTCATTTATGCCATCTGGTGTTACAGCCTCTGCACACGTGCACACGGATTCTAAAGCTGTGTCCCAGTGTCAAGTGAACTGGAACCTGGATATGCTTTTAAACTTACAAAAAACCTGTTTCCTTTAGGGTGACTCCCAGCCTATGGCAGTGCTGTGGGTCGTGGCCTGCAGGGCAGAGCTGCTCTTCATCTCCCGACTGATGCAGCTGCCAGCTGATGTCTGGCAGAGTAGTAAACGGGTGGAAAGGGATTACTAGAGCACAAATATCAATCACATCCTGGGTTCTTGTGCTGGGTACCATGCTCTTAAACTTGCTGGAATAATACCTGGTATAATCAAGCTATACTCCACTACTTAAATCAAGCTTAATTTTAGTCCAGTGGTTTTTGAATTGAAATTGCTCAGGCAGAACTTGTTTTTGAAGTATTTATAATGGCATCTTCGAGTTTTGCACACAAATTTCAGCTGTATCCAGACTGAAGAAATTTGGGCATTCCAGTGCCCCTTTGCAACCTACACTGGGGGAAAAATAAAAAAAAAAAGAGAAGAAGAAATAACTGACAAGTAGAGAAGTGGGACAGAAGATTATAGGTCTCTCTAGTGTCTTTTCAATATTTATTGTTATATTTTTTGAATATTTTTCCTTTTCTAGGTTTCCTGGACTTAGGCTCTGTCCCTCTCAATCTCTTCTAGTTCATCACGAACGCAGTCAGCACTGTCAGAAGGCTTGGCTCATATTTATCTCACAGTTTAGAATGGATTCTCCTTGCAAACATTTAAAAAGGAAAAAAACCCAAACAAAGCAAAACGGTATTTCACTTTGTCCTGCGTTTCTGTATTCTAAATTGAAGTGTTTAGGAAGCTGGGTCTTAATGAGCTTTTAGTGGAGGTGAGATAGCGAACTGTTTGTGTAACTGCCCATTATATTTGCCTGAAAATACCTTTATGGGTGTCACCTGACTCAGTGCTGAGACTTGACATGCAATTTTTGTGACACTCAGTACATGACAAGAGAGGCAGAGCAGGATGAAAATCAGTTGTGTTCTCAGAAGTGGAGCTCAGTGCCTGCTTTTTTTGCTTGTGATTTGGGTTGGGAGAAGAATTGAACAGTTGTGGTGTTTTGTTCATTGATGCCTGGTGAAGAGCAGCACAGCACTGCATCTCCTGGCTGAAGGAGGGCAGCCCTTGGGAGCCGGAGAGAGGTAAGGCGCTGGTACACCTTTTCCTTGCTAGCCTTAATGCATCTGGCAATGATCAAAGTTTTGCTTTTCTAGCTTGTTTTTTCTGATGCTTTGCCAGTATTACAGATGGGATGTATTGTATGTATGGCCAGTCTTCGCGAACGAAGATTTGGGAAAGGTCTTTTACCTTTTGAGCCTGCGCAGTGGATTTTTTAGGTGAGACACAGTGTGCGCTGAACTGAGCCCACTCTTTAATCCTGAGGTTCATCTACTGGGGCCAAGCGAGCTTGGACAGTGGCAGCGAGGTCCTCAGGACGTAGGTTTGTTTAGAGTGACCTTCTCTTAGATGGATGGCCTTACAGGGCTGACGAGATGGGATGTATTAGCATGTCCTTAACAACCACCCCCAAAAGCCCCCAGCACCCACGACATACAAGTTTATGAGAAGATGGAATTTTTTCACTAAAACTGTTACTGTGGACGTGGCGGGGAGCTGGAATGGGGCCCCTGAGGAGCCTGTGTGGAGCCATTGAACCTCCTGAGTTGAGGTGACAGTGCTGGATTGTCACATCTCAGGGCTGATAGAGCATTGTTAGGTCAGGATGTTCATGAAGTGTCGCAGCTGTTTGCAGAGTGGCTGTCACTTTGAAAGCAGCACAGTCATACTCATCGTGTCCTTGACCTGTGCCTGCAGCCTCTCCTGCTTTGGTCACAAGGTGTCAGGCCTCGTACACCTGTGTCTTTTCCAGTTTCTCTCAAGAGCCTGGTGACAGGGAGGCTTCTGGTCTTGCCAAAACCCAACAAAAAGTGTAGTTTTTCCTGCAGCTTTTCAGCTTATATATGTTTTGCCATAGAGGTCTGTGTTTGTCTCTTGGTACTTCTACTTTGTGTGTGATCCTTTCCCCTTTGGGCTAGGATCTTTTCCCCTTTTCATGATGACTCCTCAGAACTTGGTCTTCCAGCCTCCTACCCGCCTTATGTTTATAATAAATATTTTTGTTTCATTTGTTCACTTCGGTGGGTTTTGTCCATGAATAGAACCTCCTGACATCACTCAGAGTCTTGGATAATATCTGTGATGGGGCAGTAGTAGGTGACATTTGAGGTGTTGCTGTTTGAGGTGATGCTGCTTCATTGACTCTGAATACCTTCCTGTTCTGTTGAGATCTTCCATCTGTGTAGTGCTGCCTTCCTAGCGCTGCTGAGAGCCAGCTTGGAAGAGTTTCCAGCTTCTAGAGCAGTACCAGCGGTAGCAGAAAGGATGAGATCAAGCCTTTTCTGGCTTCGAGGGTTTGCTCTATTGCCTGAGTCCTTTCTAATAGAAATGTCACTTCTTGTGGCCCAAGAGTTTTGGGTCCAGAGGTCAGCTTGGTTTGAGTGAGTTTTAGAGATTTAGATCTGCACACTGACAGGAGGATCCCATCAACCATCACTGCTTCTTGGAACAGTTGGTCACATCCATTTGAGGCAAGTGATTTTCTTCTGGGTTCTTTGATCTCTGGTCTCTGGCCTGTGCTGGATCATGAGCCTGGCTTAGCTTATGTCTCTTGATCTCTTTAGGGTTCAGGAAATGAAGATTTCTTTGGTTTCATTCCTATTTTAGGGAAATAGGATGTTGTGATCACTGCTCCTGAATCTTAAAATCTGTAGATTCTCTGAAATTGGTGAGGGTTTGTATTCATGGCTTTTGGCCATTAGTCTTAGAAGATGCTCTCAGGGAGAGCACTGCCTCCTGCAATGGCACCTTGTTGGTGACATCCTCACAGGTATCATCACTTATACTTGCGTAGGCAACACAAAATCTTGCAGCCTGCCTGTTTGTCATTCATGTGAGTACATCAGCCATTTAGGAATTTAAATCCTTGCCTGTTCCTAGTGGATTTGTCTTAAAAAAAGTGTGAGTAAATGCCAGTTAATGTCACTGCTCCACAACATTATGAAATGCCTAAGTGACTGTTGTGTTTTATTTCATCTGCAGAATGTTCAGGTCGATCCATCTTTGAACAGTTTCTCTCTCCTTAATGGGCAGTTTGGAAAAATTAATGATCTGTTCCAGAGTAGCTGGGATTTCTTTTTATTCTGCATTCTCAAGAGAAGCATCCAACACATGGCAGGAGGAACAGAGTTAAAAAGAAGAAAGATTTGCTGCTAAAGTCAAGAAACTTGGATATTTATTACTTAACACGGACCAACCCTCCAAACTGGTATTAAAAGACTGAGGTGTAGAAACAGCTGAAATCAGCTCTGGCAGTACATCACATTTCTTTTAGTGAACTGAAGCAGCAGCTCAGGTGAGCATCATCTGCATTCTTGTTTCCAGATTCAATCCTGTGTTTTTATAGATAACTATACAGATGCAAAGACTCATAGCTTATTTTGAAAAAAGCGATGAGGATCTTTCCAAGTCTACCTCAGTAATTCAGGATATTTGGTGACATGTGAAATAGGTGACTTTATTTCAGAGGCAGAAGGACAGTTAACCACCTGCTCAGACTCACTGCAGGACTATATTAATATTTACATGTTAATATTACTAACTAGCAATCTCAAATTAATCACCACATTAATGAAGAGCCTTTTCTGAGATTGTAAATTCTATTTTGTTCACTTTTGCTGCTTTTGTATCTGCTGAATGCCAGCTCCCCCTTTTCCATGGGGTGGGATTGGAGGGCCTGTACTCTGTTGTAATAACTTTCTCCTGTTTGAAATGCCATTATTTCTGGTCTGTTTTTAGATGATGAAGGATAGACACTGCGATGGGCACTAAAGCATGGACTTGCAGTGTGCACTCTGATGGCAGGTACTCCTGTCTGGTCCTGGTGGTCTGACATACCTGGGGAAGGCTTAGGCGCTTGTGTGTCTTAACTGTGGTTTTCTCCATTTATTAATTTTAGTGTTGATTGAAATGTTTGTCTTTATTTATAGCATATCCAAGAGCTGTGTTGCAACAGAGAAGGTAAGTTGACAGGTGGGGGCCAGGGGAGGAATGAGTTGATGGCCAAGCTCTGGATAGTTAATCTTTTCTGGGTTTTTTTTTTAAAGTTTTATGGACAGCTGTCAAATTGATCAGACAGCTGCTGAAACCATTACAAAAACAATTTGAGAATTAGATTTTTAACTGTTCCTGAAGTATTTATTTATCCTTCAAGATGTAGACAGATGCAAAGTCACCATTCTGTTCAGTGAGATATTTTTCCTGTTCATTTTCTTGATTGACAATTACTGTTAGTGTAGCGCTTGTTGCTAGAAACCGTTGAGCTGGTCATGCTCATTTTTCTCTGCGGTGAGCTTGTGCTCTCCTGCTGTGAGCTCATGCTCTCCTCTCTGTGATGGGGGAGTGCTGGTTGCTGTTAGCTGCGCTCTAAAGACAAGAATTCCTGGGTGAGGTCAAGTTTAGGTAGTGTTTGTTCTGAAGCCCAATAAAAACATTAGCTACTATATATCTTGATTCTCTGGTTTGGGTTATAAAGGACTTGCCTGCGAATGCACGTGGGTCACCTTGTTTTGACGGGTAATTAAGTCTGGGTTTCTTCCTTAGGTAACCAAGCAAACAGTCTCAAATATGCTTTGCTAGGCAGAACCATGTGTAGACAGCAAGGTTTTATTATCCCTGGGGAAAAATGTACCACAAGGGCATGAAACCTAAATTACCTTGAATGAAATATCTTAATGCCCCAACTTGGAGAATGATGTAGACAATCCTGGATATGAATTTTGTTTTAACCATCATTAAAGTTCTGTGTGCAATCTGTACTTCTGCAGGAATGTGAAACATCCCAGGGATTGGCTGGCTGCCTGAAGAGCCCTGGCACCCGCCTGTCATGACAAGAGACCTGAGCAGTGACATGCCCACAGTAGCAGTTCAGGTGGGTGTGTTACCTGTATTTAAAGTCTTTTCTAGTTCTCTGCATTGTACCAGAAATTGCACGTGCCTTGTACAATCTGTTTGGTCCTCTTGTAATGTCCACTTTTCCTAATAAACATCTTTAGAAGTCTTTGCTTTGTGGCTGATTTCCAAGGGTATGAGTGTTCCCATGTTTTAGTTACATCCTTGTGATGTGTTCTTTGGATCATGTAGGAAAGAGAAGAGAAATTTGTAATTGCTTCCTTTGAGTAGAAACTTTATTTGAAGCTGCCAGATCCATGCAAGACCTTTGCCGGTAGCTTCTCTGAGTCTTTTCTTGGAATGTCCTGATGCTTCAGATCAGACAGAAAACCACTGTAAGCAAAATGGAAGAAGCTTCTCATGAAGAAAAATTAATTCCGAATGTTTGTTTGGGAAATGATGGTGAAACAAATGGGAAGTTGTGATCTTAGGTCCTGTCCCACTTCAGCCATATGAAGTTCAGCTACCTTGCACTTACATGAATACCAAGGGTTTGGCTTCATCCTGGTTTGTTAGTTTTTGTTTCAAAGGAGGACTGAGAAAAGAGCAGAATGCACCCAGTGGTCTTTAATGTGCAGCACTTCCCTGTGTTTGCAATGTTCCTCCCTTCAGTTGTTTCCAGGGAGGAGGGAAGGTGGCCTGTGTGCCTGCACAGATCTGTTTTCAGGAGGTGAAAATCTGTGCGTGTGTGCATGTGTGTATTTACTTCAAAATCCCTTTCTTCTATAGCAGTGTTCTGGCATGTCCTGGAGTTCAACTGGACACTGTTTTTTAGTTCAGCTGGGCAGACATTACCAGAATCCCCCCAAAAGACGCTCTTTTTTCCCACGTTTAATCCTTTTTACATGTGGCATTTACATGTGTACTAATCTTGCTAAACAGCAGGAATGGACAGTTCCTAACAATAGCTACTACAGAAGTGTAAATTCAGAAGTTGGCATGAGATTATTTTGGAGTCTTGGCCAAGAAAACAGGATTAGAGTTTAACAAACATACTTGGCAATTTAAACAAAATCCAAAAGTTCTAAGATTTGACTCAGCTCTATTCCTCCTCAAACAAACAAAACCTTCTTGAACGCCTTGATCTGACACATGGCAGTGTCAGCGTTGTGTGTGCAGTCCCTGAGTGCAGCTTCCAGCTCCTCACTGGTGTGACCTGCTGGCAGGCAGCTTGCTCCCTGGGAACAGGATGGTGTGATGTTGCATTCAATCAAAATTTAGAATGTCTCCTGTTATGGCAAAAGTTTTAAGTTTGGGTTTAGCATCCTGTGAATAACCAAGCAGAGTGCTTTCATGGGGAAAGGGGAGATGCACTTCAACTAGGACTGGCCTTGAGGGAATCTTCAGCTGCAGATGAGGAGCCATCCCCTGCCCTGCAAATCCACCAGACCTTGAATAAACTTGTTTTATGTTTATGTTCAATTGTGTGAATTCCGACTTTTTGTAAAGGGGCCTGTGAATTGGAAATTAATCTTGTGTGTAAGTTGTATCCAGCTCTGATGTCCCCAGCATAAGGAGAATGTGATACTGTTGGAGGGAGTCCATAGGAGGCTGCAGAGATGCCCTGAGGGCTGGTGCCCCTCTGCTCCGGAGCCAGTCTGGGAGAGCTGGGGGGGTTCACCTGGAGAAGAGAAGGCTCCAAGGAGACCTGAGAGCCCCTTCCAGGGTCTAAAGGGGATCCAGGAGAGCTGGAGAGGGACTTGGGACAAGGGCCTGGAGTGACAAGGGGGGACTGGCTTCCCACTGCCAGAGGGCAGGGTTAGATGGGATATTGGGAAGAAGTTCTTCCCTGTGAGGGTGGGGAGGCCCTGGCACAGGTTGCCCAGAGAAGCTGGGGCTGCCCCATCCCTGGAAGTGTCCAAGGCCAGGTTGGACGGGGCTTGGAGCTAGTGGAAGGTGTCCCTGCCCATGGCAGGGGGTGAAACTGGATAATCTTTAAGGTCCCTTCCAACCCAAACCATTCTGTGATTCTGTGATGTGGTGCAGGGCCTCCAGGGCTCTCATGGATGAGGAAGGCTTTTGGAGCTTTGGAGTGTGTTGTGCATTTTTAAAGTAAATGCATAAAACAGCAAAGTCAGGCATGTGGCAACCTGGGGCACACACTGTGATGCAGGGTGAGAACTGGGAGCACGTCTGCTTTCCAGGGTATTGCCCTGCCCTAGCACACAGCCTACACCCCTCCCACACTTCCCTTACCTGGAAAAGAGATGCTGGAGCTGAGTGTCGCTGGGCACTGCTCGGGTGTGGTGCAGGGCTGGATGCTTTCTCTGCCCAGCAAGGCACTGCCTTGATAAGATGCCTTGCTGGGACTGAGGAAAGATTGTAGGGAGGGAGCTTTGAACTGTGAAAAAAGAGATTAATTAATTAATTAATTAATTAATTAATACACATTACAAGACTTTTTCAAAGTAGGAGTTCGAAGTGTTCCCCCTGGAGCAGCCAGCCATGCAGGAACTGTTGGGCTCTGCTTCCAGAGCAGTGCCACAGTGCTGGACCCAACTGCAGGACACCGGCTGGCTCCATCCTACTGCCTTTGGGCAGATGTGGAGGGATGGGGACTGCAGGTGGTGAAACGTTGGGAGTTGCCTCTGCAGAGCCCCTCACACATGGCCCCGGGGACTGCAGACATTCACTGTTGTGCTTCCGTGCAGCTGCAGCAAAGAGCCAAGAGTGGGGGCAGGAGATCTCCAGGTGCCTGTCTGTCCTCAGGTGGCAGTTCAGGTGGTTCAGTCCAGGCAGAACCACCACCTGTGGTTGACTTATGTTTTGTGCTTTTGGAAACTGCAGCCACGTGGGGTTGGCCCTGCATGATGCCTCCTGAGAGACAAAGGGAACAGTGGAGAGAGATCGGTGTAGGACCTGTGTTGTGGTGGTCTCTTTGGCATCTTGGTACAGGTGCTGCTGGGCAGTGGGCCTCAAGGGGCTAAAAGAGGTTAGGGTTATTGAGAAATAACCTTCTGGTCTTTCCTTGTCCATCATAAAGCAGCTAAACTGGATATAAGCCATTTCTTTTTTTCCACTGCATTGAGTTGAGTTTTAGTGTTGTGGAGGTGCACGTAGCCCTGCCGCGGTGCGAAGTACCTGTCCTCCTGTGGGCCTGCTTGAGGTGTATCATCCTTCCTGTAATTCCTAAATAGCTTCATGTTCGGGGTCAAGCTTCAAGCTTTAGAGCTGTCCTGTGCAGGGCCAAGAGCTAGACTCGATGATCCTTGTGGATCCCTTCCAACTGAGGATATTCTATGTTTCTAAGTTTACTCCACAACAGACAGTTCCATTGTTCTTTATTGCACCCCAAATACAAAGTTTGTTGTTGGAGTAACCTCCACAATTAACTGGAAACTGATCATTGGTAATATCCAAAAGCCAGCAGCAAAATAACTGTAGGTGCAGAGAGGTGGCTGGGGGTGTGTGCATGATTGTCTGCCAGTCCTGGTTGGAAATCAGAGCACACTTGGTCCTGAACTTCAGTGAACTCCCATCATCTCCTCTATGAAACCACCCACATCCACGTGACAGCTCCTCTACCTGAGTATTGTCTGCTGGGATGATCTGTCTTCTTATCTGTCTGCCACAGCTGCTGTCATTGCCTCCCACATCTGAGTTCTGCCACCCATCTCCCTCCTACATCAAAGCTTTCAAGGGAGAAGGTCTTCACACTGAAATTCTGTGAAATCTGGTACTTTTTGTGCCCTGGCTACCTCGGCTGGAACCCTGTGGCTCTGCCTGCCTTTTGCATTGGGAACCTCCAGTCTGGGGGTTCCTTGGCTCTTTGCACCCCAGTGCAAACTGGAGCTGTCTCCTGCAGGGCAGTGAGTGTTTCTCATCAGATTAGAGATCCTAAGGCCCCTGAAACGCATTAAAATTTTTGGGGATTCATGATTTACATATGCAATTGCCCCCTCTTCCCTGTGCAACATGGGAATGATTTCACGCATCCTGTGTGCCTGTGCCCGGTGCTGTGGGGCTGCTCCCCAGTGCCTCATCCAGGGCTCTGGCTGGACTCCCTTGAGAACAGCACTGGTGAGACCCACTGCAGCCTCAGGGTAAACCTGTGCTGGGGCCAATGCTCTGGTTTTCCTCTTTATTAGCAAAAATAAGTGTTTTCCTGGTGTGTGGAAAGTACAGCCCCTGGCTGCAGCAGACAGAGTGGCTGCTGTGGGATCTGTCTAGACAGAGATAAATATATTCATATTTAGATCTGATATGGACGTGCTAAACTCAGAAAGACTCCTGTTCCAGGCAAAGCCCAAGTGGTGGCTGTGCCTGGAGAACTGGCTAAGCCAGGCCCTGTAGGCAAGGACCCCCTCTCCGAATGCTCTTCCCTTTCAAATGTGATGTAGTTTTCTTTTACTCGATGGGCTGTATGGTCTGGGTGTCCTAGAATTTGTAGAAGTGCGGGACATACTGCGTTCCCTCAGGATAAACAAGACCCAGCTGTCACCTCCTAAGCAGGGGTATCCCTGCAGTTGCTGGTCCAAATGCAGCCTGTGAATACCCTGCTAGACCTCTTCCCCAATGGCCAACCTCCCTCAGAGGTCAGGCTGGGGGCAGCTGTTCCAAAATGCAGGCATTCAGAGGAGTCTCTTCCCTTTTTCCTCTTCTCCCTTCCTTTTGGATAACCCAAAGGGAGGTGTATCCCTATGCACAGATGTGGCTGCGTGAGGGCTCACGGCTACAGGAATGCCTTTGGACTGTAGGTGCCTCCTGAGCAGCAGCATCCTGGCAGGAGGGAATTGCTGGCTATAACACGTGCAGTGAGGATGCTGTTTCCAGGGATATATGTGCAATGGAAATGCTGTGACCTGAGCTCACAACTCCAGTGCATGGCTGGAGGCAGGACATGACTTTGTGTCCTTCAGCTGGGCTGAGAGCTGCTGAAGAGAACCAAATGGGGAGGTTTTTCCACATGGGATCTGACTGTTTGGCACATTTGGAAACCTCTGAATAGAAGAGGTTAATGCAGGATCTCTGTTTGCTCGGAGGTGCTGTTTCATTGAAATGTGGCCTTGGCATCTCCCTGGCATATGAGTACAAGACCTCTGCTCCCAGTCTCCTGGCTGTCAAAGGCAGAGGAGCTCATCGCCTGTGCTGCCCTAGTCTTTTTGGTTACAGGTTTGGAGGAAGCCACACTCCTACTTTGGGAGGTTTGTGTGCAATGGCAACATGTCCTAGCAGTGCTCAGTCGGCAGCAGCTGGGGTTGGTGCTGCTTGCCTAGGCACTTCCCACCAAACACTTCTGTGAGGAGGGGAGGAATAGAGCAGGCTGGACTTGCAGCCCGTGCTCGTTATCCCTGTAAGAACTGTGCAGGACTGTTGAAGCCATTGCACGTTGTAGATGTTGCCCAAATATAACAAACATCATTCATCCAAGACAGTGGGGCTACAGAAATCCACCCATCTTGGCTGGTTAAAAATCTTCAGTGATTGCCCCTAGTGAGGTGAATGACTTTGCAAACTCTCTAGGGCGGACATGCAGAAAAGTGTCTGTGGCCTGCAGGGTGAGGCGTCCTGGAAGCACGGATGGTGGCTGCTGTGAGGAGCTGCAGGAAGTGACCCAGGACTGCCATTGCACTACTAAACCACTGACTAGAGGCTGTCCTGGGGAAGACATGAGCCCTGTCTTATTTCTGCCGTGGAGGCAGGGGACAGGACACAACTAGCCATCGTGCTCTTGGTGGCTTTCAGGGTTCTTGACACTTCCTGCAAGAGCCCCTGGGTCCTCCCGGCTTGTGGCAGTCATTGTCCCGCCTGTTCCTCTGCTCCAGAGTTATGGAGTTCAGCACAGCAAGGGTCACCTGGCTGCAGCTTTTTGCTCTTAGTTACAGGTTTCTGAAGTGTCATGATAAATACAGACCGGGGGTGAGGCAGAACACAGCCTGGGTGCAGTCAGCTGGTCTGTGCCAGCTGCAGGCAGCACCAGCCGGTCAGTGCTTATCACAGGCAGGGTTAACTTTTTAGTATAATTTTTCCTTTGTTTGTTTTAATTGCACAGAGAAGACATAAAATAAAACACAGGTATTTTCTCATGTTCATATTTTGTCTCTTCTCCTGGCTCTGTCCAAGGTGATTTGGGGTGAAGTGAAATCAGAACATGAGTTTGGGGGAGTTCCTGACGCAGGGTAGGCTCTTAAAATATTTTCTGTGTAGTCCTGACGTATTCTGATCAAACGCTATGGTGTAGCATCCTGGGGAGGGTGGTACAGAGGAGACTGCATATCAGAGAGGGGGAATTTGATGATTTTGAGGACTACGGAAATAGAAGTGGGACAAATGCAAATGTGTTGAGTGAGAGGAAAGGACGGTCCCTTCATGGGGAGATTTTACACCATTCTGGGTCTGGGATGTGACACCTTCCAAAGAGGCACTTCTGAAAACTGTTATAAAGTGCATTTGCCCATGAGGCTCCTGCTAAAGCCATCTTT